AACTCCCAGAATTCCCTTGGTGGCTGAGGGAATTCTGGGAGTTGAAGTCCACCCAGCTTAAAAGTTGCCAAGATTGAAAAACACTACCATAACAAGTCACTGAGGATCAGCTGTGCTGGATCACAGGACTGCTGAGCCATTAGATTAGTTGACTGCTACATGGCCCTAATTGCTTCAAAAGCTTCTGCCTACTTTTAGGGAACCAGATGGTTTAACGTTATTTCACTAAGCCGATGAGGAAGCTTGTGCCTATCTGAGCAATCAGAAATAAAGACTAGATTTAGCTTTGGTGTGTGTGTGTGTGTGTGGTGTGTGAGTGGGTGGGAGAATCTGTTTGCAAATGTACTTCATTGCTGCTAATAATAATAGTGTGTGTTTACAAACCAACTGTGCCTGGTTTGGTAGTTTTATACTTATATTACATAGGCAGAGGAAGTACTATTAAGCTAATTTTGAATATTTACTACCACTTATAAAGCTTTTGTGCACAAAACAGGTTTTTAGCCATAATTTAAAAGTGTTTTTTTTCCAGTTTAGAGCATTCCTACATAATTGTTGTATGTGGATTTCCACTGCCACCTCGAAGATTTCTGTTTATATTCCAGATTGGAACTAATCCATGGAATCAGTTTGGAATTAATTTACATTGCCATATGATTATATGTCAGGAAAGTACGATCTAAGAAATCATAAGGAATCATATGAAAATGGAATTGAATCAGGCAAATTTATATAATCATAGCCAGTTTTACCCTAGAAAGATTGTTATATAGATCGATACTTTTGTAATCATTGTCATTCATATACTATGATGCCTTATTGCTACTTTTAATCAATGAATTAGAATCTATGTATCTTTTCTCCTCTTGAGCTAACAGAATAAGACACAGAAGCAAACTTTGCTTTTCTTCATTTTGGGCCAGAATGATATGATGCACAGAAGCAAAACTGACAATAGAATATTTAAGGATAGAAAGTAAAATGATAAACATAATAATAATAATAGTCTAATAGCATTTAATAATAGTTTAATAGATAAATTAAACTATTTGGAGAAGCTAAAATATATTAAAATTTAAAGATAGTGGGGACAAGAATGATTGCAAATGCTTGGACAAATATGCAATTTTTTTTATTATCTGAAGATTAGGAGACAGTATTGTGGCAAAAAATTCACCACCAAAATAGCCTTACCTCTGGTTATCACACTCCCAGACAATGTCAATCTTCTTTTTAACACTTTCTTTTCTACCTTCCATTTTTTTCACCATCTAATATGACTGTAATTGAAGAGTGATGCCATTCTTTTTTGAGTCTGAATAGATGGTTTGCAAAAGGCTTTTAAAATTAGGCCAAGGCCATCTTCGCTTTCTCTCCTCTTTCTGATAGATTCTTTCTGAGTCTATCTAGAACTGAGACCAAGCTGAACTATTCAGAATTGACAAAAACTGAGAAGAATTTGTTATCATTAGAATTGCTGTTCACACTTTGATTTTTTTTGTGTTGCTGTTGTTAAATCACCAAAACTGAGGTAATGCTTTTTGGATATTGTCTGATTCTAAATACTGCAGATAAGCTGACTTACTTTTGTGTATCTGCATGCTTCTTATTTATTTTACTGCCTGGAAGGTTTCTGTGTATTGGTTTGATGAAACTGTCATTTACTGCAAATGTCAGGCAGGATAGCTGTACAGTGGAAGACCTTTTATGGCAGAACAGTAGAAGCCATTTAAGGCACAACAGGCTGTATCTTAATAGAACACCCCCCATACTGAGAGGTGTTAGGGGTATATTACCCCCACAATATTTTTCTCCAGAGAGTAAATCATCTGTGTACCAAGTTTGATTGAAATTGCTCGAGGCATTCCAGAGTTATGCTAGAACATACACCACACACACACAGAGT